TCTCCAGAGGCAATAGACGTTGCCGTAAGCCAATTCAGCCTTGTTTACTTTCTCGCTGCCGTTTACGCAGTAGAAAGAAAGAAATGTAATGCAGAGCGAAAAATGGCGAATTTCCGACAGAAAAAGAGGACCATCTAAACGAAAAACTGGATAAATTCGGTTGCTAAATTTAGAAAAACAATCCCCTAACTGGTGGTGTTACCAGAATACATGTTATGTGAGTCCTTGATACCGAAAAATCAAATGATGACAAAACGTCTGACCGTCCCACAGTGGTTGATTTCCTTCGTCTAGCGGTATTGAAATATTATCAAGAGAATGGTAAAGCCAAACGTGTTGAAAAAGGTCAGAATTATTCCTTGTACCATTTTCCATTATTTTGTGATGTAGGGACGAAATATAATAAAAAAAATCATTGCTCTGGAGTCTTGATAAGGATTAAGAGATACTGAATGCAATTGCCTACTCCTACTAAAGTTTCATGAGACTAACTCAAATTGAAATATTCTGATTCTAATTCATACGTAAAAGTGCAAATAAAAAATTATAAGATGAATAACAAAGAAAAGTTGCAATAGTAGACACTAATCGCTCTTTGAATCTGCTATTCTATTCGTACCTTCACATAGCACATCACCTCCAGGAACACACACAACTTCAAAACTTTCGTCGGTAGCTGTTCATTTTCCTTAGTTGGTAGTGGCCGGATGCTTGTTTGCACTGAGTCAGAAGAAATCAATAGGATATTATGCACAACTTCAATGCCACAATCTCTAGATGATTATCGAGTATTTCTTTCTCGACAAGACTTGTAGTCTTTGTGTCAGGCTTCCTGCGTCTCTTCGGAAAGGCGTTCTATTGGGACAATCATTTCATTAATGACATCAGCACCATGAATTAATATTTTGTGCACTGTTACAGGCGTGAAGAACCCGTCCGTATAAACTGACATACACTTTTGTTGTTTCAAATGCGCTTTTTTTTTTTTTTTTTTTTTTTTTTTTTTTTTTTTTTTTTTTTGAAAGCTTTCGTAGTCATATCATATCCGCTCCTCAATGCTTGTAAAACAACACAGAAGCGGCGAATGAGACTTACATCTAACCCAGTGATGTTTGTATACTGCTCCAGATTTTAGAAAAATCTCCAAACAGTGTTCCCATCGTTCCTTATTTTAAGATGTCCATGAGTCCCAATTTCTTTCGAAAATTGGCAATTATTTGCGTTTTCCTGAGATTTTACAGTATCTTTTCTTCATATCTACGAACCTGCCATTTTATAAAATACAGTCTGTAAGAATTGTGAATAAGGGGCTGGAAGAATAGAAGAATATGAGCGTGAAAGACCAACATAAAAAGCTTCCTTATGGCAAGGTTTTTTTAATAATTTGTTTCAGATTGTTCATTTGTTTTGGAGTTGCATCATATATAAAAACTTATGAGAGGAGGCTTTAACATAAGTAAATTACACACTTTTCCCTCATATATTTCAATAATTTGTGATGTACAGAGATCTGCACCTCCCCACAGAGATCTGCGCCGCTTGCTTGAACCTTCTTAGTGTTTTCTTCTGAACGAGCTATTTTTGCATTTGTCCTACGTGGTGTCACCTACACAAATTCGAATTTAATGGGTCTGTAAAACCTCTCTGTACTTTTCGCTTATTTGTTTTCTTCGAACATGAAGAGAATTCTTTTTTAGGTCTACCTTTAGTCGTTTTCTGCGCTTCTTCCTTGACTCACTCCATTTCGTCTCCAGGTCTTGCTGGGTTCCTTGCTGTGAATCTACCATTCTGTTACAAGCCTTCCATTTGTCAGCAATTTGTCAGGTGAATCTCCGTGGCAGTGGGTAATATCACCAAGCGCTTGAAAGCGCGCCGCGGTCGCGCCGTGGGAAGGCGCCCTTAGGGCCCCTTCCCACGGCGTGACCGCGGAACGCTTCGCAGCAGCGCGGCGCGTAGCAGAGAATAGGTTTGAATGGAGGCCTTCCCACGTGCAGCGGGTGGCGGCTGCTGCGGCAGCCAACGTCGAACTCCAGCTACGCGAAGCGGAAGAGGGGGCACGCGCCACCGCTAGCAGCACAGCTTTAAATGGGAGCCTCCGACTGCGCCACGGCCGCAGCGTTCTACCTGTTCCGGTCCCTTTGCCCGTCGTCGCCGGAGGGTCGGCGAAACCTACCACTCCAGACCCCACCCCCTTCCACGGCGGGCGGCGGAGCGGCCGTGGCTCCGGCGGTGGCTGCGTCGGAAGGGCTCTGCTGCTTGAAGGAAGCGCGCCACGGTCGCGCCGTGCGAAGGCGCCCGTGGGCGCGTCCGTGGCAGGTCCGTGGGCGCGGCTCGGAAGCGCTCGCTGAACAGACCAACCGTTCTTCCGAGAGATGAATCTTGCACTTATGGGGACTGGCACTGTCCTACCATGACAATTAGGAACCCGCCCACGTAGATTTTTATTCGTTTCGAGTATATGCATTTTTGATTTAAATACCACTAGATTTTGGAAACCAACCACTGTGCGTCCGTCTGTCCTACTGTGAGCAAAGCTAGCGACTAAACCGTTCTACCAATTTTCTCCAAAACTGATATCCCCCAATCGATCTGGCGCATGTCGCATCCCCATGAATTTGAAACCGATATTTTCATTGGGGGGGGGGGGGTAGTTTACATGAAACTCCAGGGACATTGTCAAAGTTAAAAAAAATGGCCTCATCGTTTTTGATAACATTTTGTTGACGGATAGTGTGAAGGACGTTTAAGAGAAAGGTGTAAGTGTCACTTTCGTTGAAAATTGATTTTTCCAAAATAGCAAAAATTCAAATTTTTTGGCGTCTTCCTATAACTATAGTTATGAAGATAGAGATTTTTTGTCTTCAAGAAATCTGTTTCTTAAAGGTAGATTTTGAAATAAGGTCATGTACAATTTTTTCAAAATTTGAGTACTTTTCGCGTAAATTTGCGTGCAAATATGGGCGAGAATATGTACTGTTTTAGCACCACTAGTTTTATTTCAAGAGAGTGAGGTCAGAAGTGTTGCGCGTGCCAGCAATGAGTTTCTCATCCGGCGGTCTGGCACTTCTTTCTGAGAAAGAATTTTTTCAGTAGTCCGTGGCACAGCGCGCGTGGGTGCCGCACCCCCCTCTCACAAGCCCAGCCGCGCCGGCTGCCAGGCGTGGGAATGAGGCGAAACCGAAACACCCTTGCACAAAGAGAAGCTTTTTAGTTATTAGTTGTGGAGTAAATTGTATGACCTAGTGGATCGAAGTTTACCCAGGTATTTTACTGCCTTTATTACGTACCTCTGCTGTATAGAGAAAGTATTGTAATGCTGCAGCGGGAGGAGACGATTTTGCGTCAGAAAACTCGTATTGTGGGGCCCTTATGTCGAAAAAGTAAGATCTTGTTCCTATACGTTATAAATTGCTTCCTCTTACACGTTGAGCATTCAGAATCCTCGTTTCATGGGTCTTTGATACCGGAAAATGAGCTATCGGTAAAACGTCCGTTTGCCCGTCCGTTTTCTGTCCCTGTATACAACGCTAGTGCTGACCTGACGGTTTTGTCCCAAAAATATTCCCTCACCGACCTGGCCTCACTCGAGGTCCTGTGAAGTTGAAACGCATATATCAATTTTTGAGAGTTCTGTTCATGAAACTGCAAAAATATTTTCAAATGTAAAAAAAATGTCCACAATTTCGTTAATAACCTTTTTCCTCGGATACAGCAAATGGCGCTGGAATATTTGTGTATGTTTCATTTTCGATTAATTCTCTGAATTGTTGAACATTGCAAAAATTACAAATAATGACAGAAAATATGTCCTCTTGTAGCACCATTTATATTATTCTCTTTTCTATATTCTGTATTCTGAACCTCTATTATTCGTTACTCATCGCTCTCGGTCATTTGTCTTTGATGTTGCTAGAAATGGTACCAAAATTGGTATACGTTAATATATGTATACCAATTTATAATACGTATTTCAAAGTATCGAGCAAAAAATGAAACGTTCGCTCACATGGCTTTCTACGGCAATCTGGGAAAATTCGAGAAGTTGGACCCGCCTCTTGTTAAACTTCTTTCTCCATTCCATTTGATCATAAACAATATATTGCGTTATTTAAAGATGTCATTTAATATATTATGTTATAAAAATATGTACCATTTGCATGCTAATACAATCTGTCAATAGATTCAACAGATTATCTAAAATATTAAGATGTCCCTCAGATTAGAAGGATTGACCCACGATGTAATAAATGCAGACAAGGATAATTGAATTAAATCATGAATTAGTAAAATCAGTGGAAAAACATATTCATTAAAGAGATTTAAACTTAAAAACATTATAAAAATACTTATAATGACGCAAATTAATACCAATAATGGCGTAATATCAACAGTCATGTTCATTGTTCATTGGTAAATGTAGATGTAAGTATTAGGGATGTTTACGAGAATTTTTCTGTCCTTATAATAACCTTTACATTTTAAGGTGTAATGAAGCGAAAACTATTGAGATAATAACCTTTTTCAGGAACTAAAATCTATTATCACATTTGAGATGAAATCATAAAATTATTTTCATTATGAACATTATATTCTAAAGCCAAGTTCATATTTTCACCATCAGTTAATAAGATTTTTAAACGGCAAACTGAATTTTATTAAGAGCTACTTTCTTTTTCTTCTCGTTGTGACTAGCAAGGGACCACATTAATTACTTTCATGATTTAATAGATACAGTAGTATATATCATGTTTACCACTTTGATTAGTTTATAAATGTTATAATTTGTAAATGCGTGTACAATAAGTTGCTGACACGGCTATTCTACATTAATCGAAAAGTTGGTCATTCCCACGGTAACATGATATGCGACTTTTCAATTCTCCCGCTACGTTACACGAAAGCAGAATACAGGCCGTTATTGGACGGCCGACGAAGAGTAGAGGGCCATGGACTTCTGAGAAGCCCCTAGGGCGGGCCAGCGCTGCCGACAACAGTCCAGAATGGCCGCGGAACCGAGCAGTTCGTCCGTGCTCCCAAGGCGCACAAAGCATCGCGACCACCCGGGATTCGAAGAGCTACCTCCCGGCGTGCAGGAATTTTTCAAGGAGAGACTGGAATTAGAGTACGAAATTAGTGTGTTTCGAGAACAGAGAATATTCGGTCCTTCAAGTGAGTGGGTCGGAGAGCATCCCATCTTCGGCAGTGATGTGTTCATTCGTCACATTCCGCCAGATTTGTACGAGGATGAGTTGGTTCCGTTCCTAGAATCGGCGGGAAATGTCTTCCAGGTGCGATTGTTGCTGAAAAATTCCGGCCAAGCGCGAGGATTTGCGTATGTTACGTATTCAAACCCTGACGTCGCCATCAATGCAATTCGGATTCTAAACAAAGTACCCATTCGCCCTCACAAATACTTACACTTAACGAAATCTCGCGACTCTCATGCTCTGATTGTTTCGAGAATTCCAAAAGATAAATGTAAGAGTGAAGTGTTCGAAAGTTTTTCTAAATGGATGTCTGGGGTTCACGATATCACTATGAGCAATTCCACAATGGAACCGGGAAAGAATGCCGGTTTTGTATTTGTACAATTTAAGAGCCACAGATATGCCGCAATTGCAAGAGAATTTATTCAGAATGAAGCCACGTTTTGGGGGATGCGCCTTGCTGCACAGTGGGCTGTGCCAGAACGCGAAGCATGCCCGAAGGAAAACGAGGTAAGTAATGGAACACGAGGCTTTCGTCAATTGCGAGGTTCTGGATGAATGCACGTTTAAACGAATGTGAACTATGTTAGAGGTTTCTGTTTAGCTCGTATGAAATCACGAAAGAAACGTTCTATTTGTTTACGATTGTTTTAGTCACATCTAAGTCTGTCTAAACACTTCATAAATAAATAGTGTAATTACCTAAATGAAGACGTTCAGGTCATGAATGAGAGAAATATGAGCTTTTAACAGACTGTTGATAAAAATAATTTTTAAATACGCATTATTCCTACTTTCTCTAGAACTCAAGAATTCGTTGTAATTACCCTATTTTGTCCAATGTTATTTATGGCAATAATGGAGGGATTTCGAAAAACGTCTTATCTACCATTTTCGAATGGCCATAAAACAAACTTTCTGATAAAATTCAGAAAAAAAATTAAAACGATTTGTTAGGACCTGGAGTTCAACAGCAGTATAATGTTCTGCAACATAATGGGATGTGAGTATTTTTTCGCTAGTGATAAAATGTGCTATAATATTTTTTTGCAAAAATATCAGCGCGTACGAGTGTTTGTATGAAATGTGGCGAAATAGGATAATCGTAGTATACTATAGTTTCTAAAAAATCACAGAAGTCTGAGGCATCTGTAATGGTGAATACGTCAATATGATGATGGATGCCAGACTCATTTATGAGCGCTTCCGAAGGAGGACATTATGTCTATTCTTTTCCTGGGCAGATGACGTCACGGATTTCTCTGTGAATTGTGAGTGGTGAATGATGGAAATAAGTTATTGAAGGGGTAATGTTTAGATGAGATGTGGAGCTGTTAGAGATCACCCTGTCATGAACACATGGTAAAAACTGCGCCTTACATGAAACTCGCGCAAAGTCTTCGATTTCGCGTGATAGCACCCCAGTGGGCGCTGGTGCCTTCCATTCGACGATAGCGGATCCAGAGCGAATGAGGGGTATTAAGGCACTCGAGGGGCGGCCGTGGCGTATCTATCATATCACTATCGTAATATTTTTTAAAATATTTAATTATATTTTTAAAATATTTATAATACAGATTACAACTATTGCTCGCATGAGGGGACCACATTTGCATCTTTTTCTTCGTGCAACGGCTGCAGCAGTCGAGGCGATTTTGCGGGAAAGGCAAGTATGAATATCGGGATTACGGGACCATGCGAACATGCAACCCACCGGAGCTCAGTTATGTGCGAGCGCTGGTTCAATGAGCAATTTTAATAAATAATTTTATTGTATATAGTTTTCGCTTCATTAATTTCCCTCTTGCGATTTATAATAGATAAATGAACAGATATAATGGGAATAGACAATACGCAACATTATTTTGATATTTCATATAGAATTAACTGTTTATGGACGTCGGGGCGTTAAATGTTTTTCCCTTCTACAGGGAGCAGGGAGCCTTCAAGTGGTCCCAAAAAGTTTGGGAACATCTGACTTAAGAATGTAAGCCGTGCGCCACCGAAGCCGGCTTACATACTCACCATGTAACACTATTTAAAAAATTAATTGAAATTAATTTAGTATCCAATTTTTATTTCTCATTTCCTCTTATTTAAGGACTTTGAATGGCTATGAACAATTTTTCAACGTGAAGATTAAAAAAACAACTGATAAACACAATAGGTAGTCATGTGGCTGGACAGCACTCCACCTGTTATTTTAAAATTCAGATGTGTTTTTCTATAATTTATAGATATTGTATATATTTTTTGTATATATTAGTTGTAATTTTCTGTTATAACAGGTGTTTTTTTGTAATTTTGTGAAAATCATTTTGGCTTCATGAAAAATTTTATAATTAAATTTTCAGTTGTACCTGATGAGGGATAAAAACAGTCTCCGAAACGTCGTAAGAATAATTCACAAGTAAATAAAATTATTATGTGAAAAACATTTTAGCAGTTTTCATTGTGGTTGTCTATAATTTAACATCAGGGTCTAACAACAAGTAAATACAATACGTAGTTCTACATTTTCTGTAATAATACCACTGATAATGTGTAATAATACTACTGTCACATTTGCCTTCTGTAAAGTTAGCCTACTATTTTGATCGATTGATTGATTGATTGAGTGAGTGATTCCGTGAGTGTCAACTGCCAAGGTCATTAAGTAGAGAGCATGTTTCTGTCGCGGTAGATGACGGTTACATTGCCCTGCACCGATTCGGCACCGATCTTCGTCGGCTTGCGGGGATTTCCCCAACCAGGTATCTCCCACCAGCGGTGCCTCAGACGGGACAATTCCTAAGCTCCCGGTTGGTCTTGGGAGTGTAGCGGTGTGGGAGTACAGTGCCTATGAGTGTAAGTGTAAGTAATGAGGATAGGAAAAGGAAGATCGCGTGCGGTCCGTGGCCCGTTCGTTAGGGTACTTCTCTGGCATTCGCATGGTGTTGATCGGAGTAACAACGGAAAACTACTAATCAGATTAGCCGGCCACTAGAATTCTCCTCCAGACGGCGGGTGAATTCGACCTAGCTGTCCAACCAATCTCGAAAATCCTTCCACCGTCGGGATTCTAGCCCTAGGCCCTCCCGGCTCGAGGCACTGCAATGCCATTAATTGATGCCGTGAGCCACCTTTGCCGGTCAACTTTGTTAAAGTACAAACCCATCAACATGTTTACTATCGAAAAAATTAAGGAATATTAAGATAATTTATTATTTTAATATCTATTTTGGCTGCTGATTCCTACTCTTCGCTGAATAGGGTTAATAATAACGTTAAAAAAATTTATTTTACAATTACGTTACAAAACTACGGAAAACATAGCAGTAAGTACATTCAGAAATATTGAAGGAAGTAAAAATGAAGCTTATTTTAATAGTTGTTTGTTTTTCATAAAACTTCAATTTTTGTGTGCTAATAGACGAACCAAAATATTACCCAACGAAGTACTTTGTTGTAGACTGTGATCTCAGATTTATAGCAACAATGGCTTACGGTTGCCATTGTTGGGTTCTCTTGTTTGTTCCTTCCCTTGATGTTTTGGGAAGTTCAGGAAGATATAGAAAGAAGTGATTTTACCATACCGTATTTAGTCGTGTATTTTAGTATACCTTTAGACGAAACACGAGTAAAAATAGGAAATTATTGCTGCAGTCTCTACACAGTTCTTCTGAGGTGGTTATTTGGACGCCACCAGAGCCGATTGGACTATTACTCCTGGGCAGTTTAGGCGATAATGGCGTTCGTCGCCCTGTTCTCTCCTACCATACAATTGTTACCCATATCTGGTGGTGTTAACGCCAAAGCTGGGAGGGTATAGAATAACAAAAGTTAAATTATTTCAACAGAGAAAATTATTTTTAAATCTGTAATAAACGCTTTTCTATTGGTATCAATTACTGTGGGGAAACAATCAGACAAATTAAGATACTAGCTGTCGTGTAGTATCATAGTTGTAAACATACAACAAAAGCTCGAATGTAAGAAAGGAACAAAGAAATATGAAATAATATACAAATTGTATCTTACTCGTACGTGGCATCCAACTGTATCGAATCGTTTCTCATGTTACGTTCAGAAGCTCAGAATATCCGGAGCGGGTGACAATGTTTGACGTCAAATTACTGAAACAAATTCTTATATTTTTGAAACATTCAACATTACCTTATTTGAAGACCTGTTTTTCACGACCACATTTATTAAGAAAAAATGTTTATGTTCATAATTGTAGTTGTAGGAAGAAGCCGAAATTTTGAACTTCACTTTTCGAACAAATCAAGGTTTTCAACGAACTTGAGATCTGCACCATTTTTTTAAAACGTTCTTCACACTATCCAACAACAAAATGTAATAAAAATAATGGAGCCGCATTTGAAAAGAAAATTCTTTTAACAAAATTTAAAATTGCCTATATTTCAAGCAAAATTACGCGAAAAGTACTCAAGTTTTTGAAAAAATATACATGATCTTATTTCAAAATCTATCTTTAAGAAACAGATTTCGATAGGGGACAAAATCTTTATCTTCATAATTGTAGTTGTAGGAAGACGCCCAAAAAATGTGAACTTTTGCAATTTTCCAAAAATCAGAGTTTTCAATGATAGTAAGACATGCACCATTCTCATAAGCAACCTTTACACTATCCAACACCAACATTTTATTTAAAAAAGTGCTGCGACACCAACCTGATCAATTGTGGAATATTAATTTGGAGAAAATTGGCTGAACGATTTATCCGCTAGCGTTGTTCACAGACGGGCAGACGTTTTGCATTCATTCAATTTGAAAAAATGAATTCTGGCTACACCACGTGTTAGAGGATTTGTTTTTCTAATTTTAGCAACTGAATTTATCCACTTTTTCGTTATTATGGCCCGGCAATAAGTTTTTCTTCTGAAAATTTGCCGTTTTCCGTGCATTACATACTTTCTCTTCTTAAGAAGTGCCTTCTTAATGCGAGAAAATAAAAATGACAATAAGTCTGCGAAATGCTTATATTTCGTGTTATATTTCAAGACATACCCCCCAAAATTCTTTAAATAAGGGATAACTTTACACGGTATATTCCCTGTTTCAACAATTTAAAAATTTTAATTGTCTTTGAGGATTATCGGCTTCGATTACGGCAGGGATGTCGAAAAAAATAGAGATTTCAGCACATGTGCTTTTGTGGCACAATTGAAAAATCTCTATGACGAGAAGAGAGACTCAAATTCAATGGTGGACGGTGATCGCCTATTCTGCCGTACGTATGCCTACGGGACTGAGTCGGGGACTGTCTCAGGAACAATGAAGCCACATACAAGAGGCTGAAAAGTAACTTTGAAGAGCAGGAAAAGGTATTAGTATCTGGGAGCAACTTAGAAATGAGGATATTGGAAAAGGCTAACCGTTTTTCAGTTTTTCCTGGCGCACGGCATTTGAGGAGCAAGGTCAAGAGGGCGACCCATCCCTAGGGCGCAAAGGGACCCAGCAGTAAAATTCGTTTCGCTGACACGAGGAAAAGCAGTGGTTGAATTCGTTTCGCTGTCACCCGTCCTTTCTGGGGGCAGAGCAAACATCTGGCATGCTAATATATCTTTAAGGCCTAATCAGGCAGACGGGCATTCATTTTATAGTTCTTCAGCACTTGGATCAAAGGGACCAAACACAATTCGTTAGTACTCGTACAGAGGCAGAGAGAGCGCGCCCTCATACTTCCAATTTATTTTTTTAGAACTGCGCGTGCGCAGTGCCCACTTTTTTCTTATTGTATTTTATAGAAAAGTGAACAAAAAATAAGTCTACATTTTTTTTAACATTTTTATCCAATAGAGTTCATATACAAAGTTTCATTTTGTTAATAATTACAAATTTTTAATGCAATATTTATTGTTTGAAAAAATTATTTGTAGAGGAATAAAATACACTTTTCTAT